AAAGGAATAAACTGCTTAAACCTCAGTTCACATTTGCTTTAGATGAGAAGAAGACAAATATGAACTTTCTCCCTTTTGGACAGCCTAGAACCGTGATGGCGAACCTATGACATGCGTGCCACCTGTGCCATTTGTGCCGGCATGTGAGCTGCAGGCAAACTTACCTCACTGGGCATGTGTGTGCCTCACAGCTGATTTTTGGCCAGTTTGAGGCTTTTTTCGGCCTCTCAAAGGCTTGAGGAAGACTTCTGCAGGCTTTGCAGGGCGAAAACAAGCCCCAGTTTGTCACTTCTCATTTTTCCGAAAATACTAGAAGTGACGATATGGAGCTAGTTTTCAGCCTGCAAAGCCTGCAGAAGCCTTCCTCAAGCTTTGGGAGGCCAAAAAAGGCCTCAAACTGGCCAAATATCAACTGTGAGGTGCAGTGCAGGTAAGGAGGTGGTGGGGTGGGTGGGTGGGTATTACGTGCACATGCGTAGGGGCGTAGGGGGTGCGCATTGCATTCTGGGTGCTGACAGCGAGCGCGAGCGTGCAGGCGCGCATACAATTTTTGGCACAGGAGCCCAAAAAGGTTAGCCATCACTGGCCTAGAATAATTCCCCATCCGAAACACTGCTTGAAGCTCTGCAGTCTGGTGTCAAGGTCTCTTGTGATCCAGAGTGATCTTTTTTTCTTTTGTTGGTGAGATATTCCTTAGCAGTATTCAAAACTTTATTGTATTTGACATTTTCTCAAATTACATTCCTGCCTTGGACTCAAACTTCTTTTACCTGACCAGTGACTTTGTTGTGTCTCTTCATCTTGTTCCTCAACCTCTGATGCTCGTTGATTCATTTCCATAGATGAGTGAATGCAGCACTTTTGGAGCTACCCAGCCTATTCAGAAACTATTACTATCAGAAGTACATAATTTTTTTCCAGATGTTTGTTTATTGGTCCTTTGAGTGACATGTGTTAGGAATATGAGTCACCTAACAGCTATTTGGGTTAGAAATATATAAACCAGGATAAACATTTTAAAACTGTATCTTTAAGAAAATGCAAAACTGTAATTAGGTGTGGTTTCTCAAACGGCCATAAGATGGAGCCAGAAATCTGGTTTGTCTTAGTCTTAGTCTCAGAAGAGAGTGTGTCTGAATGAGTATCTGTTTCCTTCTGTTGGAAAGTATTGCTGTTCCTCCATTTCTTCTAATTGACTGATATTACTGGATTTGATGTAAGTCTGATACTGAATTGTTTATGATACTGGAATTTGATATTTGGCTTATCCCTGGATTGAAAACTGACTGATTTACTTGTGAATGACTTTGGACTGCTTATTTTGAACTTTGCTTAAACCTTTCTGGAAGCAAAAACCTACATCTACTGTACAGTGTATCTGTGTTCTGTATGTGTATTATTCAAACACTACTCTCAAATACATCTCCCTGTATGCGCTCATTCTCCTAACGGGGAATTACCTCAACAACATGCCTGGGCAGATCATGGAGAGCTAACTACAGTACATGTAGTCCTTTACTTATGAGATAGTCACTTCTCCTTTGTGGGTTTTTTTCCCCAAGAGGGCTAAAGACAAAGCTTCAGTGAACAATTAATGGATTGCTTGATTTGGACAGTAACAGCACGTTAGGAAATCCAGTTCTGATAGTTTCTGTTTTATGTTATGGACTGAGATCTGAGCTGGGTGAATGTGTAAAGTGAGTGCATATAAAAGAGACAAAGATCTTGGCTCGTGGGAGAATTAACTTTGATCAGCTTTTTCAGGGACTAGATCTCCTGATTTGTATCTTTTCCTTTCAACTTCTAGGTCTTTGACATGTATTATGTATGTGCACTATAACAACATTTAGAATTCTTAAAGAACCAGAAAAAGTTTTCTCCTCCTGAGTAAACCATTGGCAGAGATATTTCTCTGGAAAAAAGCAAGTAGAACCAGCATACCTACTCAGCTTTCCCCAGGATGGGCAAGTTTTTTTTTAAATCCTTTGTGTGCTTTACAACCTCAAAGGTTGAAAGCATGAAAACATCTGGAAGGTACGAGAATGAATTCCTTTCTTTTCTACCCTTAAGTCTCCCCACACAATAAAGCTTCTCAGAGGGTTGCATTCTGGCTTTGTATGATTTCCATAGTCAGATGACTTGCCATCATGGACAAGGAGGCATACTGTCATAAGGCCTCAGCATGCCCAGAGTGTGGTGTGGAACTTTATTAGGATTCCACAGATTCTAACTTTGGATGAAAAGGAAGCCTACTGCTAATCAAATACTTTTCAAAGTAAAATGTACAGCTGTTTAAATTGAACAGAAGTATTGTGTTAGTCATTTTGTGCTAATCCGATTGAAATAATCTTTGATGGGAAGTGTGTATAAATCACTGCAGCTGCCCAACTGTTGTGCACACCAAGAATCAAAATTATTCAGTTGCTTACCTCCCAAATGATTGGCCATAAACACTGACTTAGTTGTAATCACATTGTTGCTCACAATGTGCCCAGAAAGCCAATTATGAGAAATATAAACCATATGACTATCAGCCCCCAGGAAACACAAATATTATTAAGGTTGGTTATAAACAGTTAAGATCTGTAACAGAATACATACTATGTGGCATCCAAGTTTGGATTCTATTAGCGCATACAATTTCTTGGTTATTTAGATTTTGAAGATTAATGCTGAGTACTCCAAGAATGGTTGTCACCTAAATAATAATCAGAGCTGCAATGGCAACTGACTTGTCCTAATGCTACCTCCTACGCCATTAGTTATGCATTTGAAAGTTATTCTTCCTTACAGCAGAGGAACAGCATGTCTTTTGACCTGCAGTCTTAAGGAATTAATCAACTGAATGAATAAATTGAAGTTGGCGGTATGAATTATATTTTGGATTTTAAATCTCTAGGATTTAAGAACTCTGGGATGCCCATGCAAATGCTTATTCTTCTTTGGGAAGGAACCAACCTATTTCAGTTTCTATCTTTCAGCTGAAGCTGGTGAACCATCCAGGAGGGCAGCTGTGAAAGCAAAACTAATTGCCAGACTTCAACTGCATCCATTTATGAGAAGGCCTCTGGGTTCATATTGGCAACTTTAAAAAATAACGAAAGCTGATAGACTGTCCTTAGCTTTCTCCAAAAGCAAACTAAAAAAAATGTGCTATGCTGATATGATGAAAAGCTAAGTAGTCAGTAAGAGAGCTGAGAAGTAATCTGATGCATTTGTTTTTTTCTTTTCTTTTCTTTTTAATAAATGATATTTTGTTGTTGGTCGAAACTCATTTTGTAAATAGTTAAGCTCACAGTTTGATGAGAACACAATATATCTGCAGAATCCCAATAGTGCTACGAGCGCCAAAAGATCACCTATCCCTGTATCACAAAGAGGATGCCTGCAGAATATGCTGGTGGATAGGTGTATTTGTGTTGCAACGTTGCTTAGAAGTATGGAAGGTGGGCATTATATTGGACATTGCACTGGCACAGTTGTGGACACCTCTGGCTGTACCATACCTGTGTGAGATAGCTGCACAGAATACAAAGTATATGGATTTATGACTCAGAGGCAATCTTCTCCCTTAACAACTTTAAACAGTGGTATGCAGAACTACTACAACAACCACCACCTCTGCTCTGTAAGATTAAATGTAGTCTCATCTCCAGTTGATTTCCCATGGCTCTCTTAAAAGATGGAAACATCATTCCAAAGGCCAGAGTCTTTTAAAATCACACTTTTATAATAGAGTAACATTTTAAAAGAAAAATAAAGTCAGCTATGTCAAATGTCCAAGAACTTTGGTTCTATTCAAGCCCCTCTAGTTTACAAATGTTTTCCCTTAAAGATGCATTGTTCAAAGCTTAAGCCGTTAAAAGCCAAGTTAGCCTCAAAGCCTTCACATCTTTCTGTGAGGTTCCCTTCCCATCAATGCAAAGACGTTCAAGAAACAAATGCTTGCTCAATAGCCCTCATCCCCAAAACCAATAAAAGAAAAATAACATGGATAATAATCATTACAGCACAAATGAAAGGTAATAGAGGTTCCAAGTCATTTCCCGTTTGGCTGCCTGCCACAATTCTAGTGATGCCTAATCATGAAAGATAATGGATTGTATTGATTCAAATGTCACTCCTCTGGTACTGTCGATACCTCCACCCACCACCCCCACCCCAAAAGCATCTGTGACTGACTTTTTTTTTTCTTTTACATTACAGTACCCTTCTGTCACATCATTTAAAAACACAAGAATTTGCAAATCAGGCAAAAGAAGGAATAGAAATCTTTCCCTTTTGCTGCAGCATACAAGGAGATCTGAACATAAGAAACCCAGGTTGTTTAAAGCAGTTACTTTTCTCCACAAGCCTTCAAAATTGCTTTCCAATCAGTTACCTCTTGCAAGCTTACAACAGTCTTGTAAGATTCATTGGAATGAGGCAGGGGAAAAAGAACAGCCAAAGGAAAACCAGTGGATTTTTATAGGTAAAGAAAGATTTGAAGAGTCGATGCAAGTGCAATTCTATGAAACAGATTTTGTACCTTGCCTAGAATTCACTTAGTATGTGCTGAATGTATGTAACACACTGCACTGTAATCTACTTGAGTAGATGTTAGGCTATCAATTCTGGGACAGTGTAGTTTGGAGTTCAATATCAAGCAACCCAGAAAAGTGGGTGAATAAATCAAATTAAGTTTATACTTGCCCACAGAGACAGTGAGATCTTTTTCCAATGTATTCAAGCAGAACGTAAACCATCTTACTTTCATTTGGGTAGGGTAAAATAGGCCCTATGACATCAATGATCCCTTTCAAGTTCTAGGAATTAGTGAAACCATGGTATGTGTGTGTGCCATGTGAACTCAGCACAACTCTTAGTAGGGAGAATCATAAAGTGTACAAAAATGTTTTAAAAAATCCAGTTGGTTGCATTTTCCTTTTGGAGAAAAGTTGCTAGGTAAAGCATTATTTCATCTTCATACATATATTTTACATTTTAGTTTTTTTAAAAAAAAATATGTTCAGAATAAGAAGACAGGCCTATCAAAGACAGCCTTTGTTGGGACTTATGTTCAGTTTTTTAACAGTGCCCTAAACAGTGATGTCAGTTATGAAATTAGTACTCTCCCCAAATGCATTCTTACAAATACTATAGGTTTCAACTGAAAAAATATATGTCAAGCATTTATAATACCATATCAGATTATTAAAAAAAATCACATTGGGGAAAAAATCACTTGCAAAAAAATTGTATAAATGCCATCTAAAATCATATCTATTAAAGTTTGTCCAAAAATGTGTCTGAAATTACGCATTTTTCTTTAAAGTTGCAAATTAATGCAGCTGTAGAAGGAAATGAAAGTAAGGTTTTAAAAAGGCAAAATTAAGTGAAATTGAAATTCACAATTCATACAGCCATCATTAACATGTTTTTTCTTGCTTGGATGTTTGAAGTTGATGACGTTGTGTGGCAACGTTCATTTTCTTTGGATGTCTCATGTCCAGGGATTATGAAGTAAATGTGGTGGTGCACTTACCAGAGTTAGTCAGCTACTGCAGCCTACAAAGCTTTGATAGTCTCCTCTTAGACAATGATAAGCCACCATGTATTAACCACATGTGAGCATGCAAAACCAACAGTGATGGGTAAATTCCTGAATCCATTCTGACACATCTTCAACATTTTTTATGAAGTTATGATTTGGTGATCAACAAAACCAAAGTAGAGCATTTATTACCATTCCTGAAACTTTTTTTTTGCATCTCTTAAACTTCAAGAATAATGAGGTGATTGTACAATAGTAATAATAATAATAAATGCAAAGCTTTGACCATCCTATTGACAAACACAGTTAAGCCTTCTGTCCCCTTTTCTTGCAAAATGCACTTCTTTTGAAAGGAAACAAGAAGATATTTTAGCTGCTGATTTTGGTAAGCATCTTGTTAATTGCTTGCTTCACATGAGTAGTGGAACTTCGCCTCCGAGTCTTGCCTTGAACCATTTTCCGGCGTCGCACTTCCCGGCAAAGCTCGTAAAAAGCTTCCATAATGTTGCCTTCTCCTGTACACGCAGAGCATTCATAAAAGGCGCAAGCTAGTTCCGTGGCCAGCTTCTCCCCTTCTTCAGTGCTGACCTGCCTGGAGTGATCCAAGTCTGCTTTGTTCCCCACTAGGATCAAAGTAACGTTCTTGGGTTTTTTGACTTCATCCAACAAGTTCTTTAGGGGAAGGACTTCTTCAAAGCTGCCTCTATCTGTGATATCATACACCAGCACGAATCCTTCACCCCATCGTACGTGTCCTTCCTTCTGAATAACATCCTCCTATTTCAAAAAAGAGACATAGAAAGAAGGAAGTTATTTTGCAGAACCACAGGAGACAAGATTCGTATAGATATTAGGGACCTCTGCATAGCAGAGTTTCTATGTGATATTATTTTGGGGAAATTCTCTGGGGTCTGGTATTAAATGCACATGGACACAAAGCTGCACAAAGCAATATTCTCTTAGATTCTTGTGGAGAGAAACATTAAAAGTCCTCTGTTTGCTCCACATCCAAGAGAATATCACCAGAACTGAAATATCTTTGTTCCCAATTTTAGACCACTGTATTATTCTAACATCCTGGCTTTTTTTTTTTTTTTTACAATAATAGTTCTCCCCCTTTGAGCTTTGTATGGCCTGGCTATTGTGGTCAGACTAAGTTACACTAATTGATGGTTGTTCTAAGGAATGGAATATGAATCTCATCTATACAATTGAGAAATATTTGCACTGAGGATGAAAATAGCCATACACATCTGGCTGAAGAATTGTCTTTATGATTTGAAGATTATTTTTGAAGTTGGCGCTGGCTTCTCTAGGTATGGTGAACCTATGTTTTTCAGAAGTTGATGAATTGCATGTTAAGATTTAAAATTTAAAATTTAGTAGCTGGAGCCCCGGGTTGTGCAGTGAGCCAAAATACACAATTGTGGTTGATTGGTTGGAGAGTGCGGGCTCCTGCGTGAGGAAAACTGCTGTGATTTGTAGCTGTGGGTGTGAAGGGGGCGTTTCACTTTTTCCCGCCTTTTTTCTTCTGTGTGCCCTGTGATTTACCTCATGATGCTCCCTCCTATTTGCCTATCTAGTTTGTTGTGTATATTGATGCAAAATATATTTATTTAGATAAAACTACAAGTAGGTGTCAGTCTCTATGGCATCATTTGGACACCTACTGCACAATTCTCTGACATTGCAACTTCCAGCTGCTCCAATTAACAGAGGTTGTGTTTTTTAAAATGTTCTGCTTTGTAATATTCTAACTTTGAAATAGCCCATTTAAAGGTTGATCCATTTCCATTAAATTCAGAACAGTTATTCTGAGATTAGAATGTGACATTCTGAAATTAACTAAATAACAGAATAACAGAATTGGAAAGGATCTTGTAGGTCATCTAGTCCAACCCCTAGCCCAAGCAGGAGACCTTACACCATTTCTGACAAATGGCAGTCCAATCTCTTCTTGAAAGCCTCCAGTGATGAAGCTCCCACAACTTTGGAAGACAAGCTGTTCCATTGGTTGATGGTTCTAATTGTCAGGAAATTCCTCCTTAGTTTTAGGTTGCTTCTCTCCTTGATTAGTTTCCACCCATTGCTTCTTGTCCTGCCTTCAGGTGCTTTGGAGAATAGCTTGATTCCCTCTTCTTTGTGGCAGCCCCTGAGATATTGGAGCACTGCTATCATGTCTCCCCTAGTTCTCCTTTTTATTAAACTACACATACCCAGTTCCTGCAACCGTTCTTCATATGTTTTAGCCTCCAGTCCCCCTAATTATCTTTCCTGCTCTTCTCTGCATTCTTTCTATTATAAATCAGAACATTCTGACTGTAAAACTTATTGTACTTTTTGATTAGGCAGCAGGTCCAAGGGGAGAGCAATACTGGAGATTGTCATTTGGCATTATCTGGAGGGCTACAGGTTCCATATCCTTTAGTTTTGCATATAAACAGGTTTTTTAAAAAACACGTCCAAGTTTTATTACTTCAGCTACAACGATATAAGCCACTGCATCTGAAAGTTAAGATTTGTAAAACTGAATGCAAGATTTTAAAAAAACTATTTGTGGGGGAAAAAAATTTGCAGCAAATATCATACCATTTAAAAACTACCTTGATAAATATTTCAATCCCATTACTGCCAATATGCAAATATCATACCATTTAAAAAATACCTTGATAAATATTTCAATCCCATTACTGCCATAAGCATGTGACATTTCAGTAAATTCAGTGCAACCTTCATTGAATTTTGCTTTCCATTTTCACTCTGGCATTCAGCTGTTGCTAAGACAGATCTCTGACATCTGGTCTGCCTTGCAAAATTATTATCTACTCAGAACTTTGCTACATTTAATTTGTGTGTGTGAAATGTGAAATGATGTGATAATTAAACCATTTTTCAAATATTACTCTTCATTATCGTAAACACATGGAGGGAAAGAACACTATAACGGGCTGCTGACTTCATTTTTCATGCTCTTCTGTTAGCGGTAAATGATAAAATATTAGTGCCTCTTTATTCCAATTGGGAATATGAATGTTTGCCAATTCTTTCTTTGCCATAATTTTCCTAGTGAGTGGAGAGATGTGCCACTAAATTCCAATGACAGAGGTAGATTTCTTTATCTATCTGATTAATGTCAGTGGAGGATTACATTTCTATACTGGATGAAATTCCCTTAGAAATGACTTTTTTTCCTGTACTTTTTCATACAGGTCAGACGTCTATTTCCTCCAATTGCTTATGAGCAAAATTGTTGGAGGGGGCAGTGAAGAAAAGAGAGAAAAGGGAAGGGAAGGGAAGGGAAGGGAAGGGAAGGGAAGGGAAGGAAGGAAGGAAGGAAGGAAGGAAGGAAGGAAGGAAGGAAGGAAGGAAGGACAGCTTTCTCTGTCACTTTTGTTTTTCTCTAAACCAATTCCAATTTATCTATATTTTTTAAAAAACGTGATTTCCAGAAAGAGGCACAATACTACTTCAAAAATAGTAGTAACATTATATGCAAGTTGAAAAATATTAGTTTGATTGGAAGACTTTATTGAACTCTATGCTCAGATGTACTCTGTATAGACCAGGGATGCAGTTTTATCTTTGTTTGTATTCTTGCTTTTTAAAAGCCCCTCCTCATTTTATTTATTTATACAGGATCTCCCAAGTCAATCATATATAAACCAGTCCCCCTGGACTTGGTTGGGCTTACTCTCAAGAGCACTGAGACAGGATGGAATCTTTAGATTCTATGGAGTGAAACATCCCATAATAATGTTTCTTAAAACTGCCCTAGCCCACATTTTTCTACAACAGACTTATATGCAAGGATTCATAATCAGATGACTCAGAGATGTTCCTTTCTAAAAAATTATTTAAAGCAGTTGTATAGGCACCAACTCAAACTAACTCTTTTACCTCTTTTCCTACTCATAAGATCATTTTGGTATGAGAAAAAAAACCACATAGGGGAATATTTAATACCTATATATCCACTCTAACAGCCCTAATTACAGCTCCTGGGGCCAATTCCACATTTCAGTTCAGGTTTAGTCCTACTCTGTCTTTCAGAAATATTTGGAAGGAAACTATAATTCTCCTTCTTCATTATCATTTGGTCTCTAAGACATCACTTCCTTTGGAACTTTTACAGAATCATAGGACCGGAAGGAATTTGGTGGCCTTGTAGTCAACCCCCTGCAGTCTATTCTCGAAAACCTCCAGTGAGGGATACCCACAATCATAGGAGACCCGCTATTCCATTGATTAATTTTATCACAGTCAGAAAAGTAATCCTTATTTCTAGGTTGGTTGCATATGTGCCAAAGACAAATTCCTTGTGTGTCCAATCACATTTGGCCAATAAAAAATTCTGTTCTGTTCTATTCTATTCTATTCTATTCTATTCTATTCTATTCTATTCTATTCTATTCTATTCTATTCCTATTCCTATTCCTATTTCTATTTCTATTCCCTTCCCTTCCATTTAACAAGCTTTCACCAATTACTTCTTGACCTGACCTCTAGTGCTTTGGAGAATGTCAGCTCCCCTTTTCTTTGTGACAGGCCCTCAAGTCTAGTTATCATTTAGCCTCCAGATACTTTATTACCTTTGTTGCTCTTCTCTGCACACTTTCCAAGGTCTCAATATCTTTTTTGTATCATGGTGACCAAAATTGGATTCAGTATTCAAACCAGCATGGTGTAAAATAGTACTATCACATCTTGTTGTCTTGACACTATCCCTCTGTTGATGCAGTTTAGGACTGCATTGGCTCTTTTGGCAGCTGCAGCACACTGCTGACTCATACCTAAGTGGTAGTCCATTAGGACACCTACATCCCTCTCACAGTTATTACTGTTGAGTCAGGTACCACATATTCCATACCAGTGCATTTGGTTTTTCCTTCCTAAGTACCTTCCTCATGTTTCTCACCAATAAACTGCATCTTGTTGGAGAGGGCTTAACGCTCAAGTCTGTCAAAATCCTTCTGGATCTTCAGTCTATCTAAAATATTGAATATTCCTTCCCAATTTGGTGCCATCTTCAAATTTGATGAGTTCCCCTTCTATCCCCTTGTCCAGATCATTTATGAAGATGTTGAAGAGGACCGGCCCAAGACCGAACCTTGAGGTACCCATCTGCATGCTTCTTGACATTCTCTTATTTTGCTTGGACTAATAAGCATGTAAACCAACAAAAATCAGTTGAAATTTCTGCTGTTGTAAGGAACCCTAAAGCTACCAAGAATATGAAGCTTCCCTCTCATACTCTCTCACAGTTGGCCTACTATTTTTTTTTATTATACTCCTTTGTCCCTTTAATAATATTTCTCTTATAATATTTCACGCATAAATACTTGACAAATTTCCCCTAGTGTTAATTATAGTTTTCTGGCATTGGCATTTTGCTACAGGGATCAGCAATGTTCTTACCTGCCCAGCTGTATCTAGTATTTCCATGGAAACAACTTCATCATCAATGGTGGCTTGGTGACGATAAGTGGACTCTTTAAAAAGGGAAGATAAATACTACATTAAAAGGAAACAATCAGAAAGTATGGTGCATTTCTTTATTCCCTGCTCCAAAAATAGAAAAATAGACACCAAAATGTTCATCTGAGAAACCCAAATAGTATTTCTTCTTTATGGAAAAACTGATTGTCAAAAAGATGTAAAGAAGGAAAAGTTCATTAGAACACCTACCTCTGAAGAAATGTGGACAAATATATAAAAATGTGCACAAATATTGCCATGAGCCATTGATTTTTAAAAAATTGGGTCCCTGCAAGCAACTAAACCCACCTTTGAGCTGATTAAATCAGAATCTTGGTTATGATAAGAAGTGGTAGCTTGTCCTTAGCTTCATGGAACAGTTCTTTTTTTTTTTTTTACACTGACAGGGTTTATATTTTTTTCCCTTTGAGTCAATGTTGGCTCCCAGGAACTGCTCAGATTAGTCTCTGCAATCTTTTGGGCAAGATTTTCAGAAATGGTTTGCTACTGCCTTCTTTCCAGGGCTGGGACTGGCCCAAGGTCACCCAATAGAAAAGAATTTGTGTAGCTCAAGTTTGAACTGTGAAGTCCTTGCTGTTCTTTGAGGTTGGCTGGGACCATGTCACATCTTCAATGCTAGAGCAGAGGGGAGTTTGCTCTCCAAGTCCACCCAGCTGGTATTGTAACTCATGGTGTCCCAATTTCTAGCTTTGTGCTAGACAAATGGATTCTTAAATGACTCTAGGCTTTGTTTCTATCTCTCAGTCTAATTGTCAGCCCAGGAGTTTTTAGAACAGAGTTTCCCAATGTGTGGTAAACACATCTTTGTTGTTTCCTAAGATATTACATATGATTTCCGGTGCAGATGCCAAAAAGCAAAGTTCAACAAAAATGACCCCAAATTGAGGCAATCAGTTCATCTTACATGGTTTCCCATGGAATTTCAGTTGGATAAACCATGCAATTCAGCAGTCTTGCATCATTTAACCTAGTATTTTTTTTAAATTAATTTTTATTTAATTTGGGGATCTTGTTATAGTCAATATATTGGGGTGTTTCATGTACCAAGGCTTTTGTAATGCTACAGAGATCTGTATAAAGGGAAAAAATTGGGGACCGTTATTTTAGAGTAAATGGAAAATCAAAAAGTGCATTCCAGTTTGTGTCCCTGTAAAGATGGAAAGGAAAGGATATAACTGTAATTTATTATACATTCGGAGAAGGTAATGCAATACATGTGACTTTTTCCCTGGCATTAGTTTGGACCTTCTGCCACTGTCATTATTCAAATGATAGACTTGCATTTGATTATGTTTGGTCTTGTTCCCTGACTGGCTTAAGAGCCAATATTCTGGAATAGATTAAAGCCAATACTTCAAATATTTAGATCCATATTTGAGATATTTGTTTGGTGTTCATTTAAAAGCAGCAACAACACTGCAGGATGGAGAATTCTGCATCATACAGCATCACACCTCTCTCTTTCCCACTGACCTTATTAATTTATTCTAAATTGCCAGTTGCACTTCATTGACATAAAACAAAAACAAGAGAAAAACATTAAAAGGAGACTGGGGAAAAGAAAACAAAGTAATCACCCCTGCACTGCTGTGAATTGTCTGGTTAATGAATTTGTTGCAGAATAAATAACATATAAATAACAGCGTAGCCTTCTGTGTCTCTCTTCCAAGTTATTCTGTGCCAATAGGATAAATACCTAGAGCTAGTGTAGTTGTGAAGCAACAACTGGGTGGGCAAATGAGGTGCAATATCATGAAAAAACAAAGCAAAACCTGTGGTATCCTTAAAGCTGATTTAAAAAAAGGCAGTCATAGCTGTACCATCTAAACTTCAGCTATGTGATCTACATAGAAGAAGGTGGAGCTTCAATTGTACTATTTTGTCTGCTATCTTGAACTCTTGACCAGATCCTACACACATTTCTATCTGTGTATCCTCCCACAAATGCAGAGACTGTCTCCAGTGAAATTCAGAATAATCAACATTTGGGAAGTTGGTCCTTCAAACCCAGTCGTGCTAAAGCCAGAGCTGAAGATGGATGCAGAGAATCCTATCTGTCACTTCAGTAAGCAGGTTTTTTTTGGCTGAATGGGAATGCTTGACATGTGGTGTAATGGTATGTAAGAATGACTTTGGGAGACAGAAGGAAGAACCATAGAGTGGCCGTCTAGAGACTTCTGGCAGTTAAACTCAGCAAGTCTTAAAGTTGCCAACTTTGGAGATCTCCGGACTAGACCATGGTCAGACATGTACCGTGTTTCTCCAACAATATGGCCTCCACCAATAGGAAGGCCCAGCATGATTTCTAGGCATGAGGTGAAATTAAGCCCCACCCCCAAAATTTAGGCCTATTTAAATCATGAGTTTCCCCGCCATTTCTCACATCGTTCGTTAGAACTACACGAGGTGAAGAGAAATGGGCGGGGGAAGGGCGGGGGGGAATGGGGGGAAAACTGGCCTTTAGGAGTGCCCTTCGGGCGATGGAAGCTCCCCAAATGCAGTCACCAGCCACTTTGATCGACCGGGAGAAGCGGCCTTGGGGCGAGCGCACACACACACACTGCCCTAAAGGCGAGGGGACATGGGTAGCCACGCCACACCCTGAAGCAGCTGGGGACTCTGCCTTCAAGGGAGCTTTCGTCTGCCGATAGAAGCAGCCTCGTGGCGAGGGGAGTGTGTGTGTGTGCGCTCGCCCTGAGGCTGCTTCTACCGGCCGATCGAAGTGCCTGGTGACTGCATTTGGGGAGCTTCCATTACCCGAAAAAGACTTCCCTAAAGGCGAGGGGACACGGGTAGCCACACCACGCGCTGAAGCGGCTGGGGACTCTGCCTTTAGGGAGCTTCTATCGGCTATCGGGGTATTCTAGCCTAGGCAGCCAGGGCAGCCATGCCACACCCTGAAGCAGCTGGGGACTAAGCCTTCGGGGAGCTTTCATCAGCCGATAGAAGTGGCCTTGCAGCAAGGTATGTGCGTATGGGCCGCTCTACGTGGGGGAGGAAATTAAGTCACCCCCGAAAAGACGGCCTAGCCGTTTTTTCAGGGGTCAAAAAAAAAAGAAAAAAGGCCCGACCTTATTTTGTGAGAAACACGGTAGCAGCTGAGTCTACAGAAATGATAGGGGCATGTCAAGCATGTCAGAAGGGAAATTGTCTATGGAGATTCTCAGTCTTCCAGGTCATGGTTGTTTCAAAGGTGTTTTTTAAAAAGAGGCAATTGGACTTTCTTGTTTTTTCTTTGAAGACGTTTCACTTCTCATCCAAGAAGCTTCTTCAGTTCTGACTGGATGGTGGGGAATGGAAAGCTTTATATTCCTTGCAGACAGCTAGCCATTTGCATTTTTTAGAGAGTCATTGAAGGTTTATCTGTGTCCTCCATGTCACCTGAATAATGGGTGTGGAGCCTTCTTGGAACTGCTGAAAGGATTGTGTTGTAGACTGCAGATAGATGGTGCCATATCTCTCCCCCTTTGTTGCGAGAGTTCAGTTTTGACATACATGGCCTCTTTGACCCTCTTTCAAACCAGTGGTCCTCTCTGTCCAAAATGTGGACTTTGCTGTCTTCAAAAAAGTGGTTTTGCCTTTTAAATGCAGATGGACTACTGAATCTTGTCCGGTCTCCTATGTTGTGCCATGAGCTTATGAAGTGGTTGTTTTGTCTCCCCAATGTACAGATCTGTCCATGTCTCACTGTATTGTACTCCATATACCATGTTGCTCAGTTTGTCCAGTTTGCCTCTTGAAAAATAAAAGCACCTTTGGGACATGTCAGAAGGGACTCTGCCTAGTTGTTTGGACTGTAAAAGAAATGGGGGAGAGATGTACTTTCAGATTTGCAAGATTCTCTTAAACCTTACAATAAAAATAAGAACTAGTACTCCTGAGTCCACTTCTTGTCTGGACTACCTCACAAAGCTGACATTGAGCAAGAAGTGTCGAAATCTAAGAAACCAAATAAGAGATGAATATAGATTTTAGGGGTCAGAACTTAATCGTCTTGGCAAATGCTTCCATCTTTACTAAGGGAAACAGAATACCCCCAAAAAAGTGTGCATGTGAGGGAGGGAAATGAATGATTGCTTTGAATATATTCTTCCTTTTTAAAAAAATGACACTCATTTATTCCTTTCAGATTTTGTTTGCTTGGTTGAAAACATGGTTTATGACTATGAGTATCTATCATCAAAAATTATAGAGAAAATAGGTTTTTGTAAGCTACATACACAACAACTTTTAATTTCTTATGGGATTGCAAAAGGTCAACTAAAGTTTTGAGCAACCTCAGCAGAAGTATCATTTCTAAATCAAAGGAAGTCATAGTTTCACTTTCTCTGTATGGATCAGATCCTACTTCAAGGATTGTGTATAGTTTTGGGTACCACTCTTTAAGAAGGATTTGAACAATAGAGACGATAATAAATGTCAGTCTGGCCTCTGCTCTACAGAGGCCACAACCATCTCATTCTCCTTATCTAGAATTCAGCTTCACAAACTAGATTTCACATTCCGGTATCTGTGTAGCAGTGTCTTTGAAAGCCACAATAATCTCCTGGATGACTACAGCTATTTGCCACTCCACAGTTTATAATACTTGCAGTTATAAAAGTCAAAGGGACATTTCAAGCTGACATTTAAGAAAACAATACATATATACACACACTATACATGTCATTGCCAAAAAAGAGCTCTTGTTAGCTTAAATATTGGCTTATTTCTAGTGACTCTGGCAGCCTTTCACAAATCAGTTAAATTATATTTAGTTTGTGGATGTCAGTGCCATATGCTTGGAGTCTAAAAGAATTGCCAGAAAAAAAAGTATGAGACAAATTGTGACTATAATTAATTACTCTAAGCCACTATTCATTTTCAAGCAGACCACAATATCAAGGGCCAATTCTTGGGTTTTAGAGAAATTTGGAGAATCTGAATCATCAAGAAGAGGAGGATATAAGTATTTTTTTTAAAAAAAATCTAGATTGTACCCTGCCCCTTAGAGATGAATTTATTCTCCAAATTTAACTATAATTGTCTTGTTGGGGTTACATCAGTTCAAAGTTGCATTGGCTAGCGTATCAGCAGGGAAGAATATTTTAACAGCATATGGCTTGGCTATCTACTGAAAAATTGGGGTGGTTTTCATCAAACTGTCAGCTTATGGCATTATTAATACAATGAGTTTTAGACTGGATGTTGTACTCTGTTCTTAAAAAATGGAGCAAAATCATACACCAAGCCAACTTTGGGTCAACAAAAATTAAGTTCTTTTACATTTATACTAGTATATATGTGTGGTGTGCCAGTTGCACCCATTCCGGGTTCATGAGGCTCTACTCACAGTTACTCATGCCCTGGTGACCTCAAGAATGGACTCCTGGGACACACTTTAGATGTGGCTGCCCTTGAAGAACATCTAGAAACTCTCATTAGTGCAAAGTGCAGCAGTAAAAGCAGTTATGAGTGTGTCTAGAACAATACATGTTATATCTCTGCTTTGCAATTGTAATGGTTGCCAATTTGCTTCTGGGTTCTTTAAGGTCCCGTTTTTGACTTTTAAAGCTTCACATGGCAAGAGGCGCCTCTCCACAATTACATCTACCTATCCCATGGGGTCTGGCAGGAGGGGAATATTATGGATCTCTTCTGCTAAAGAATTCTGTCTTATGGGCCTCAAGAGGCAAGGTTTTTTCTGTCACAGCACCCACCCTTTGGAACAAGTTAGATTGGCCACAACCCCATTGGCCTTCAGGGAATCCTTAAAACATAGTTTTTCAAGCAGGACTAGGGATCCCATGGAAATAGGAAACCCATAATTCATAGTCCCACAGTCTTATTTGTTTTTCTGTTTGTTTTCAATTGTTGTTTTAGCTTTGTTTTTAACTATTTCATTGTATGCTGCCCAGAGACAGCTTGCGAAATAGGCAGGTACATAATTTTAATCAAATAAATATAATGTGAATTAGGCCTATGTTCACATATTTGTAGTCTCATGAGGAAGTCATGAGACTAGTCATGAGGAAGTGAGCTGCATCTAAGCTCAGTCCTTGATTTACAATTTTACTTTTGAATTTGATTACCAGCAGCGAAACCTGCAAAAATGAGAGACAGAGGTAGACATTTCAAAGGACTTTTGAAGAAAGGGGAAAGAAGTTCACGGCTACAAGAACAGCAACCATATCTACTTCTATGATCACACTATTTAAAAGAGTTTTTAAAGAAAAAACACGTAAGAGGCAAAGAAGAATAATTTGAATACTAGAAAATAAAATAGAAGTTGTGAGCTGAAAGAGAATGAAAACAGAGATGAAAACTAAAGTGGGAATACAAATAAGCCAAGAGATGAAAAATGACCCGTACAATGATCCATTACTGGATTTACAAAAGAGACAGCTGTTAAAGCTGAGAAGAAATTCCCAAGAAAATTTGGATGGAAATCAGATCTTATGACAGCATCTTAAATGAAGCAAAGATTAAAAACGATGGGATCAAAGGGAATGAGTATGAAGTTGACTTCCTTGATCAGGGTAAAAACAAGAAATACATTTATAATGTTCTAAGAACCTTTTATGGACTTTTTGCTAATCCTGGAAAAGAAACATTAATAATTTGGGGAATGGTTGATGGATAAGGCTTGAGATATGAGAAGAAGTAATTTATGTAACGTCATATCAAATGGGATAGACTAATATTAAACTTGCTTGCACTTTTTAAAAATAAAGATAAAGATCAGAAGTAACTTCTTTTTTCTTTTTTTGTCTGCACTTTTTCCTTTCCCTTTTTTCTATTGTTTTGTTTCTCTTGCATTTCGGATGGTTTAATTTTCTTTTACTATTGTTAAAACCTTTAATGAAAAGTAATTCATCAATGCTTTCCTCACACAAAAAAATTAAAGATGATTTCAGGGGGCATTTCACTCACCCCTGTCCAAAGCAGTTATTTTGCACCAAGCGTATTTTCTACAGTACTCTAATTTTTAAATAATATTGAAGAGATTGCATCAGACTCAAGAGTGATAGTTGTGCAGTCCAAAGACTGGCTCAGAATGTTTAAAATCTGTGAACTTTAGGGTAGTTGTCTTTTCATTAAATTGCTTGGTTATTTTGCTTTGTTATGTTAACTATATAATTATGAATAATGATGCCTGCTCAAATTAAACTTAATTTTTGCAATTTGACTGCCAAAATGAAAACACAGTCTTAAATGCCAGCATAAAAATCAGGCTATTGGTTCATATTACTGTTTGTTCGGTTTGTTGATAGCTTTCTAGGATTTGGGGGTAAGTGTCTTTTCCACAATTAGTGGCTTCCTGAATAGAAATATGCTGGAGATTGAACCTACATGCTAGGATCTATGACAATTCACCGTGGCCAACTCGCCACAGCTAACTCGCTGCAGGACAACCCCCTGAAGGGCAAGAGTTACACTAATATCAAAGAACTAGTGGAATAGAATCATTAAAGAAAGGATACAAACAGAATGAAATGTGAATAGCAAAAATTAAAATATTTTATATTTATTTTAAATAATTAAATAGGATTGTTAAATTGTCCTGCAGCAAGTTGGCCATGGTGAGTTGGCTGTGGCAAGTTGTCCCATTTCCTACATCCTACATGCAAAGGTTATATTTCAAGACTGTTCTAATGAAGTAATGTATATACCTGTGATGGTATATTATTTTTATTTATTTAAGAAAATTTATATGGCCATCCAACTCAACTTTCAGTGACTGTGGGTGGCTTACAAAGGTAGCAATAGCAGTATAAGACACAACAGAAGAAAAAAAAACTCACCAAGAGTGGGATCATACTCCCATATGAATCGTTTGGTCAGAAAACGTACAACGAGAGCTATAGGAAAGAAAAATATATCTGGTGAGTTTATGACACATAATAGCCCAAATGGTTTAAAGGTGTACAGTTAAAATAAATTCTCAGTTCAGCTTATTTCTCCAATTTGATAGCCTCTTAATATATCCAACTGGAATACAAAGATGATTCGGGCTGTTAAAGTTCAACAGATTCAGGAAAGTTTGTGTTAATGAACAGGTCTTTATTTAATAGACACAGGCAGATTTTTTAAAAACACAATTTGTACATCTACCCTTTAATGAACCATAGAAGATAGAATAGACTGCCATACACAGTCAAATTTATACTTTTACAATTTGTTTTGAATGTTTTCCATGCTAAACTAAGCATATGACAAATATATGTTGGATATGTTCTCACATACATTGCAGTTTCAATTACATTTTGCAAAAATTTCAACTATGAGCATGTTCTGGATTAGAGATTTGACAACTGATCCTCTTGAATTTTGCAAACAACACTTAAAATCAACAGAAACCATAATTGGTTCTGTAAAACTTAATTTAGGGAAAATATAAATTAAATTTAAAGAACAAAAATTCAAAACCATGTAAGGAAATTCATAGCAGTTTAATCGGGTTATTTTCCCCCATAACACAGTCTCACATTTTATTTCGCTGCTAGACATATCCCAGATTTCCTCAAGACAATATATACTATTTTTTCTCCATTTTCTCCTGACAGCAGAGAAAATTGACTTAAATCTTTACTGACAGGGATTCAACACTTGGAGTATTTGATTTGTTAAAAAAAGAGAGAAATGAAAACACATCATGGTTCTCAGCTTTTAGCAGCATCAAAGAAAGAACTGATAAACTCTAATAAGAATGTTTTTTCACGCGTTATGAACTATTCATCCATCATCAGCAGGAGATGCAAAATCTTGTTAGGAACAGTTTAGTTGAATGAATCATTAACTCTCAAAAAGTTCAAGTAAACACTCTTAATATTAGACCCCAAATTCACTTCAGACCTTCTGCAGCTTCCAGAACTGTAAATCTTTCTTTACAAAGCTTGAGGATACAATTAACAAAGATAAAAAATGAATTCAGGATCTGTGTATTTACTTAAGATGATACATGGAATATATGTCTAAAAAGATTGTGCAAACCAGCTGCAAATCGCTTGTTAGATTTTTCTTCTTGTGCTGCCCCTTGGCTTTTCAAGTTTTGATGGAGATCTATCAATCTTACTCAGTAGTTCATAATCAACAATCCCAGAGTTTCTTTTGCAAAAACAGGGTAGCTTGTCTGTGGGACAAGCCTTGCTGGCGGAGTGGTTAGAGTGCAGTACTGCAAGCTACTTCTGCTGCAGCCAGCTGCCTGCAATTTAGCAGTTCAAATCTCACCAGGCTTAAGGTTGACTCAGCCTTCCATCCTTCCGAGGTGGGTAAAATGAGGACCCAGATTGTTGGAGGCAATAGGCTGAATTGTAAACTGCTTAGAGAGGGCTGTAAAGCACTGTGAAGCAGTATGTAAGTCTAAGTGCTATTGCTATTGCTGTCCTTGATTACAGGTAATCCTCAACTTACAACCATTCATTTAGGGAACATTTGAAGTTGCTATTTGCTACAGGACGACTCACCATGTCGAATTCAACAATTCAATTTATTTATTTAAAATTATGTTTAAAATATTTTAATTTTTGTCATTGACATTTTATTTTGTCCCTTCTTTGGCATCCTTTCTTTAATGATTCTATTAGACCAGTGGTGGCTAACCTTTTAGGCTCCTGTGTCAAAAATTGTACGCGCGCTAGAGGGCGCACACTTGCGTGCCAACACCCAGAATGCAATGCGTGCCCTACCCATGCCCCCTGCACATGCATTGCGGAACCCCACCACCACCCCCTTACCTGTACTGTGCCTCACAGTTGATTTTTTTGGCTGGTTTGAGGCCTTTTTTGGCATCCCAGAGGCTTGGAAAAAGCCTCTGCAAGACTTTTCAGGACAAATAATAGGCCTGTTTCGTCACTTCCGATATTATAGGAAGTAACAAAATGGGCCTATTATTCATCCTAAAAAACCTTTAGAGGCTTTTTCCAAGCCTCTGGGAGGCTGAAAAAGGCCTCAAACTAGCCCAAAAACCAGCTGTGAGGTGTGCGCATGCACAGTGAGTAAGTTTGCCTGCAGCTCATGTGCCAACACAAGTGACTCTGCCATAGGTTTGCCATCACAGTATTAGACTATTCCTTTGATATTAATGTAACACTTGTCCCACGGCAACTTGTCCCATGGTGAGTTGGCTGTGGTGAGTTGTCATAGACCACACCTTTTGCAGCCTTTTGCCAAGCCAAGCCAATGGGGAAGCCAAATTCACTTAACCATATTACTAACTTAATAACTGCAGTGATTCACTTAACAACTGTGGCAAGAAATGTAGCACAACTCACTTAACAATTGTCTTGCTTAGCAGTGGAAACTTTGGGTTCAATTGTGGTCGTACGCAGAGGACTAACTATATATGAAAATCACCCTTCTCTAATATTACTTTCTACATGTGTCCAGTTACAAATGCCCTCATCAGGGGTGGGATACGAAAGGGTTAACTACCGGTTCAGGATTCACGAGCTTCCCTGCCCGCTGTGAGCCGCGTGTCATTAGTATGTCATTAGCATGCTGCAAGTGAGAAGCAGCCTTTGAAACAGCCCTCTTTTCTTGTTTCTTTAACTGCAGCTGTGCCTCGTTCGGCAGCTGAAGTTGAAAAATCAGGAAATAAAGATCAGGTAAGAGCCTGGCTGGGCAAGTGGGCAAAAACATCAGCAGACATAGAACCGGTTCTATGTCTACTGCTCTTCAGAGCTACTGGTTCTACAGAGGTGGACAGAACCGGTAGAAACCCACCCCTGGCCCTCATCCACAATAAGGACATTTTCCCTTCCACCTGTGCAACACATCTGAAAATCAATACATTGAGAAAACTATTTCAAAGTATATGGAACAACATTTTATAGAGCAACATATATAGTATACAGAGCAACATTTTTTTAAAAAAAGAAATAATGAAAAAAAAAGGTGAAAAGTCAGTTTCTAGCACCAATAACTGATTATTAGAGACTCTGCACTTTGCTTGGATGTTGTGCCTATTTAGTATAACTGTGTTGCCCCGAAAATAAGACCCTGTCTTATATTTTTTTGCTATCAAAAAAGGCACCAGGTCTTATTTTCGGGGGATGCCATCCACTAACTAACCTCACTTGCACATGTCGCCTCCAGCCTCCTTTTCGCTGTCAGAGGTCTTCAGGAACTTCTTCTGCAGTCGGCAAGGCTTTCCTGAAGGCCTCTGCAGCCAATAACAGAGCTCCAGATCAATCCAGAGCTTTGTTATCAGCTACAGAGGTCTTCAGGAAAACCTTGCCAGCCTTGTTGGCTGCAGATGGGCCGGCAAGGCAGGTGTCGGGGTGTGTGAGGCCTGGCTACAACTGTCCAAAGGTAAGTAGGGCATCTCCAACCCCCATCCCCACCCTATCTTAATTTTTATCTGTGCGCTCTGGAGTGGGTGGGATTTTAATTAGGGCTTATTTGTGGGGGAGGGCTAAGCTAGGACTTATTTTCAGGATAGGTCGTGTTTTTGGGGAAACAGGTATTACTAAATAGTAATATTTAGTAATAACACTAAATTGGTGCAATCAGTTTTATTTGATCAAACTGAATTGGCACAATCAGTTTTATTTGATCAGTTCCCCATTTCTGATTTTTGATTTGGAAAAATCTTGAATATGCATGTGTTGTGCATGTGTATATGTGTGCTGTTTTTAAAAGTAGACACATATAGGTCTTTTGATCTGTTCTATCTAGCTCTGAAGCCCTCAATCCATAACTCAATACAACTGTCAGCATTTCATGCTTGGGTGAAATTATCCACAGTTTCTTACTGAAATGAAACAAGAGTCCATTTCAGAAATAAAGCACAACCAATAAATCAAAATTCCAAATGACAGGTGGATTTTTCATGATCTGTATGATAAAATGGCTCCTTTACTTTCTTTTGTGGCTATGACACGTAAACCTAAATCATCCAGTGATCGGGCTTGTGTGCTTTTTAGTGGTACTAAAATAATTATAGGGGAGAGGGCTCGGTTCCTGAGATACATTTCTTTAAAAAGTGGAACTGGACTTCCAGTTTGAGCTTCTTCGGCGACAGACTGAAACCTCATCTCTCCAAGGCTTCGATTCGTGCTCTCCACTGGAGCGCCCCAAGCCGGCTGGTTTCGGGGCTAAGCCACCTCACAGAGGTGGTGAAGAGGGGGGAGCCTGCCTGCAGGGTTGAGGAGAGCTGCATCTCTCCTCCCCAGCTGGCCATTACTCCCTTTCCCGAAGGTGGTTGTAGCAGTGGTCAGAAATGGCCACCACAAAGAAGAACTCGACCAGAAAAGAATGTGCAGGAGGAAGATAAGAAGAGAAAGTTTTGGTTGACCGGGTCAAACAGCAAAAGCAACAAATAATGTACCCTGGAATTTCAACTTAACAATATTTTTCCCAAAGAAGATTTTGAAGCTGCGAAGGAGAGAGAAGGGAAAGGATTAGGTTTTTTTCTTCCCTTCCTTATACTGACAGCTAACAGACTTAAGCAAGAAACTGAAAAAAAAATCCACTTTGACATTAATAGGCATCTAAGCTGAAAATAAAAGTCAAAGGGATAAATAAAGATTTCTGGACATTTAAAAGTTTTTAAAAGCTGGAAAGGAGAAAAAAAAGAATAGAAGGGCAGGATCTGGAAAAATGGAGGAGACTGCCTGGAATTAAGGAATGGAACTGTAATTAAAAGGAACTTACACTGAAATTTTAACAAGATTCCTCAAAGATACATTTTAATGGAAACTTGGTAACAAAATAATAGAACCCCAGGAGGAGAAAGTGGAAAAAAGAAGCAAGTAGAAACAGCCTTGGATTATTTGGATTACTTGGTGATTTTTGGTTTTTGCATCTAGATGACTAAAATTAACTGGGTGGTTGTTTAAAAGTTTTTAAAATGGTATCA